ATTTTATTCTTTATTGGTATCACGTGCAACCAATGAAATGCTTTGTTTCTCTAAGTGCACACCCCCTCTAAGTGCACACTATCACTCATTCCCGAGGGGGGTGCACTTAGAGGGGGTTGACTGTAACTTATCTCTGCAGATCACTAATAGGCGAAACATGAATTAATTATTTAAGATCACGTGAATCAGTTATAAACAGTGTTGATTTATAAGTCATATGAAGTGATTTTCAGATACATACAGTACCTGGACAAAAGTTTCGGAACACTTGTTTTTGTTAATTGCGCAAAAATGTACATAATAAACATATATGAAATTTATATCATTTGCGGTTTAGGTTCTTGTAAATATCTATGCAAAATCCCATGCATCTAGGTTCCGTAGAACTCAAATAAATATATAAAAATGAAATTCGATTAAAAAATTTTCTTTGACGATCACTAAATTTCTGATGCAAAATATTTTATTTTATTACCCAAATTCTATGTAATAATTTTAATTTAAAATTTTAACTACTTTTAATATTTAGTTGGGTATCCTTTGCTCTTTATACAAGCCTGAATTCTTCTAGGCATGCTTTCAATCAAATTCATTAAAACATTTTGAGGAATTTTATTCCATTCCTCTTTTAAAGCAGCCTCAAGTTCTTTAAGATTTCTTAGATTGTTAGGATGACTTCTAATACGATATACTGTTATGGTGGGAAGCCAAGTGTTTTAGAAATAATTCTATATGAGGCTCCACTTTATAAAGGCCAACTATTTGTCTGTGTTGAACTTCAGTTAAATTAGACTTTTTTTTTTTGAAATTTAAAATTTTGAAAACTTTTTCAGAATCAGCAAAACTTGGATTTTCATATACAAAATTTCCAAAACATATAATTATGTAGGTTCTTGGACAATTTCTAAAAACATCATGTCAAAAATTTTTGATTGCCAATACTTAATTGAATTTCATTTTTATGTGTTTATTCAAGTTCTACGGAACCTAGACACACAAGACTTTGCATAAATATTACAAGAACCTAAACCGCAAATGATATAAATTTCATATATGTTTATTATGTAAATTTTTGTGCAATTAACAAAAACAAGTGTTCCGAAACTTTTGTCCAGGTACTGTAGGTAAACTTAATAGTACTTCAAAATGAGATGACGCGAACGATTATTAAAAATAGCATTAAGCTTAATAAGTTCACACTCTTAGTACTATTGCAGTATTAGTATCGTTACCTTTAGAAACAACATTTTGTTCTGTTTCTTCTTTTTGTGGTAATTTACTTGTTATTAGCTGGTCCAAATCTGAGGGCGAGTGTAATGAGGGAGTAAAAGGCGAGTGCGGAGTTATTGGAGTTTGAGGTTGGAATGAATCCTCGTCATGCTGTGAATGAGATGATTGCCCAGTGTTATTATTATACAAATGAGACTCGACAACTACATGATGGTTTAGTTGTTCTTCTGATTGTTTTAACATATTTGTACAATCTGGCTCAGACATTCGTTATTACTTTGTACAATTATTAGAACTTGAATGATTTTTTTTTATTGGTAAAAAATTTATGATCATCAAAATGCTTCAGAACAGCGTAACCAACAAAAAAGCACGAATGAGCACGTGATTTTTTGGAATCGACAACAATTCCTTTTTCTCATGCAGGACTTTCACAGTCTGTTGATCTTGCTCTTTAGTATTAGGTCTGGTCCAGACTTAGGGTTTCTATCCGAATAAAACAAACAAAACGAATGGAACAAATGAAACAAATGACTCGAATGACTCGAGTAAAAACAAATGATTCGAATAAAACGAATAAACGAATAAAACGAATAAAACAAATAAACGGATAAAGCGAATAAATGAATAAATGAATTAAATAATTCGAATAAAACAGATAAAACGAAAAAAAAAATAAAACGAATAAATCAAGTAATTCGAATAAAACAAATTATTCGAATAGAACAGATAAAATAAATGATAATTTCGAATATTTCGAATATTTCGAAGAATTTGTATCGGAAGGAATTGGCATTCATAGAAACAATGAGTGAATTTTGATTTATATAAAATTGTATATATTTCTTTTTTTTTTTGGAATTGAGTTATAATAAAATAATTTTTTTAACAAATAAAATTGAAATAAATGCTTTTGTGATAAAAAATTCAACAATCCAATGGTCTTTGATACCTAAAACCAGACCGGCTCGGTCCACAGTCAATTCAATCTGGGCCGGACCGTTAACATCCTTTTTTGAAATGAAACAAAAAACACTGTTAATTGGAGAGATGTCGATCATTATAATATAAATCCTGCAATAAAATTATTATGATTAAAGCATTATTTAAACAAAACATTATAAATTCGTTATATTTTCATTTTCAAATTTCTAGAAATTATATAACGAGTAATAGTAGACTTGAAGGCAAAAATATATTCATGTAATATATCATTAATCATTTAATAGATCAATCCTTTAATAAATCAGTCATTCAATGAATCATGAATCAATGAATCAATTATTCAATCATTTATAAATACAATGATTTTTTTTAGTACTGGAGCTTCTGCAGGCATTGGCGAAGCATGTGCTAAAGAATTTGCTAAAGCAGGATCGAATTTGGTTTGATATCATTATTTATCTATTTAACTATCTATTCATTCTAAAAAACCATGATAATTGTTGCTATGATTTGTTGTTTTCATAATCAAAGTTTATTTTATAGATACTGACTGCAAGAAGAGTTGAACGGCTTGATCAACTTAAAGATGAACTTTTGAAAAAACACCCTACAATAAAAATCTATACACATAATTTAAATGTTTGTGAGAAATCTAATGTAGATCGATTAGTTAATTCATTACCAACAGATTTTAAAGATATTGATGTGTTGATTAATAATGCAGGTTTCTTATATAAAATAATTTGTTAATTCTAAGTCCTAAATAAATTTTTATTTCTAAATACCACCAACCAATTGTCTATTTTAAATTAAGGTTTGGTTATTGGATTAGATAAAGTTGAAGACATATCAGTTGATGCTATGGACACAATGATCAACACAAATATCAAAGGTTTATTATATGTTATTCAAGCCATTCTTCCAAGAATGAAAGAACGTCAAAAAGGACACATCATCAATGTTGGATCAATTTCAGGTTTATTTTAAACTAATAATTTTTCTTCTAATGAGACAACTACCATATAATATCTGTTTTATAATTTAGGAAAACAAGTTTATGATAAAGGTTCTGTTTATTGTGCTACGAAACATGCTGTTAATGCAATTTCAAAAACTTTGCTTCTCGAATTAGTAAGTTTTCTAGTAATTATTTTTCCACAAATGATAATATTACAAATTAATGACTAATTTATTTCTTTAAAGGTTGATACACCAATCAGGGTCACTGAAATAAATCCTGGTAATATATAATACATTTGACTGACTGATTGATTTTGTTTGAATGGCCAAAAATAATTAAATATTTTTCTAATAATAAAATCAATATTTACTATTATTGTTGTTAAGGGATGGTAGAAACTGAGTTCTCTATTGTTAGATTCTATGGAGATAAAGAGAAGGCTAATAAAGTGTATGAAGGATTGGTGAGAATATTTTATCAATATAATCATTAAATTACTACTTGACATCTTAAAATTGTTACTAATATATTTATATATTAATCAATAGACACCTTTAAATGGAACTGATGTTGGTAATTAAAATATTAATCAACAAGTTGGTCAATCATTGTTGTTTTTGTTATTGTTATTATTGAAATCTTTATAATTTTTAGCCGAAATAATTGTTTTTGCTGCATCTCGACCTGATCATGTAAATATTGCTGATGTATTGGTGTATCCTGTTAACCAAGTAAGAAGATTATCAATCAATCAAATGTTTTGTTTAAGTTTTTATTTAGCTATTATCTTTCTATATATAGGCTGCTGTCACTACTGTTCATAGAAAATTATAGGTGGTCAATAAATATAGTAAATGCAAAACAATAAATTAATTATAATATGCCAATGTTTTTGAGGGTGAAGGATAGATGGAGAGGATATTGTGTCCCCATTTTGCTGTTTTATTTATCGTGTGCTTTAATAAAAATAAAGTGTAGGAAAAATTTTCAAGTTTCTATTTCTAGATTTACTCATATATTTTATATCTTTTCTCAACAAATTCCAGATAGTATATGCTCTATTAGTGCTCAACACAGTGATTGATCAATCATTAAATAACAACTTTTGATAATTTTACAGCAACACCTTCTCTTTTACCCACCATCTGATGCAAAAGCCATTTTTAGTTGAATGTTTGTATTTATTGTTGACTTTCTTCTGTTGTTGATTGAAAAATTCTTTAGCTAAATTGTTTCTTTGCAAATGATGAGAAGATGAAGATGAAAATACTTGATTGATTAAGAATTTGAATGGTATTTGTAGATCATTGATCACAAATAAAAGGTGATACAATTCCTACAAATTACTTTAATAATAAAATATAAAAGTGATAAATGATCTAAACTTTCTTTGATATATTTGGAAACTTCATGAACAAAAATTAAAAGAATTTTGGCCAAGTTAGGCCAAAACTGACTTATCAAGAGACCAACTCATCAAGGTTACTAATGTATTTCAAAATGACATTTTCTTCAAAAATTATTTTAATAAAAAATGATCATTGCAACCTTTTTCAAAGAAAGGGCTGAGTTTAGAGGGTTACAATAGACAGCAAAGGTCGTACCTACTGAATATTCATTCATTTTATATTAATTAAATTTAAATATTTGGATATTCATTCAATCATTAATATTTAAATTAATTATTCAGTGAATAGTAATAGTAGTCGTGTGACATTTCCCTGAGGCTGCTTTTCTATATGTGAAAATAAATTCGAAATTCGTGTCACATGAAGTTTTT